CCCTCTAGTCTACACTGCTAAATTAGGAACGGCTATCGCAGATAGCCCTCATGTAGCTTTGCGCGAAATTCCAAAACAAACAAATAGACTGGACACAGAAAGTAATGTTATTGTGCATTCAGGTAGAGTAGATGTGTTAGCTAAAAAAAGGATATAAATACAGTGTAGACATCCATTCAGACAGAAATATCATCACATGTACGAACAGGATTTAAAGTATATTATAAATTCTAATCATCTTGTCCCCTGGTGGGTAAGCGGTAAGCTTACTGAGTTACAACGCTAAATTCCGGCGTCCGATTTTCGTGAACGACAGATAGCCCATTGTATAGCTTTGTACTAAAACAACGCCAACTAATTATATTTTAAATGTTTTGTGGAATGTGTAACCAGATGGTACATAAGAAGTAGTAGAGATGTAGCAGAAATGCGTATTCAAATAGGACGTAGTAATTACAGGAGACTTCTTTAGTACAGATATGAGTGGTAAATATCCAAGTTATATTAAAATTTCTTTCAGATTGAAATTAGATATGTTTAAATACATTTCTAATACCTTTAAAATAAGTATAAAACATAATGTATTACAAGTAATTTTCCAATAGGATAAGAAATAGATGTTGTGTTGTATGTTTGATATTACAATCCTTTGAGAAAATTAATGACTTCTTCTTTTATCAGTAGTATAAAGGTTCACAGGAAAGAAAGTCTGAATAATATACTCTACCTGAACGGATAAACTCTGAAGAGTCACCAGCCCAAGACGAAACATCATTCATTTCATTATTGTTCTTTTCAAGACTTCCGAACTGAGTTAACCTGTTCTGCGTGTCCACATCTAGCTAGATGTAGACATGCCGAACAGATTAACTCACTTCAGAAATCATCTAAAGGACAATAATAAAGTAAATGATGTTTCATCTTTGGTTAGTGATTACTTTGTCTAATGTGTTTTTTGTTTTCGTGTTTCTTGTACGGATCCATCAGATGATCTAGATGTAGACATGCCGAACAGATTAACTCACTTCAGAAATCATCTAAAGGACAATAATAAAGTAAATGATGTTTCATCTTTGGTTAGTGATTACTTTGTCTAATGTGTTTTTTGTTTTCGTGTTTCTTGTACGGATCCATCAGATGATATCGTGTGATGGATCCGTACAAGAAACACGAAAACAAAGAAACACATTAGACAAAGTAATCACTAACCAAAGATGAAACATCATTTACTTTATTATTGTCCTTTAGATGATTTCTGAAGTGAGTTAATCTGTTCGGCATGTTTACATCTAGATCGTGTGATGGATCCGTCCAAAACGCACGAAAAAATCTTTAGACAAAATTAAAGGTAAACTTATAGCAAGATTTAACATCAGTGAAGTTTAGAAGCTGTTCAGCAATAAATGTTGATGAAATTCGGAGCTCGATTCTCGCAGCGAACAGAGCGCAGGCAGTCCATTGTGTAGTTTTGTGCGAAAACATATATCATTTAAACTATAAGTTAAAGTTTTTTTGAAACAATAAATAAATTGAAAATGAGCTTAAAAGGAACTTAAAAACATATACGGTTAAAATTTATGACTTCATATATTAACCTCTTACTGTCTTGAAACTGTAGAAAAACATCACCTCAAAGATTATTTATTTATTAAAATCAAGCAGCACGACAACACAAATATATTACATTCTTCTCCCTGTGGAGAAGGTAAGTTTAGTACTTTAAAGTTTGTCATTAAGAGGAAAGTAATTTGCTGTAGGTGGAATTAAAGGGACAATACTCGGTGTGAAGTTAAAATAAAGAAAAACATTACTGCACTGGAATAAAGTTAGGAAAATAAAAAAACAATCAACAGAGTAGAAGCTGTAGAAATGAAAATGAAAAAGTCAACAGCGAGTCTTAACTCCTTTAAGTCAGAAACGAATCTACTTGCATTTCACCTCTTTGTAGCTGAAAATTAGAAAAAATTGGATCACAAGAATTCAAAGTATCTCTACTCCATGCGACAACTACATCGTAGTTGTCAGTAGGTGTTTCTAAACCAGAATATAGACGAAAAATTCAAAAAAAAATGTTGACATGAAATATATACAACAGGAGAGTCAGCTATAGCATGGGCGTCGCCACGATGTTCTTCTGGGTATTCGTTTTTCTCAGGAGGATTCGTTCCTGTTTACTGTGCATCTTTCTCAGATATGTTTAGAGGTATAATATATATATATACAAGTAAAACTACACGTGTTATGATGAGATCGACGATTAATAAGTTATGTTGAAATAAATATTCAACCAAGTTTTACAAATAAACCGGATAATATCTACGCACTACATACTTGTAGTTTATGTACACGTCCAAAATGCATCCTCTCCCCCACTGGTGACCCACGGTTTGCTTGCTAGAAACAATCATACAGTTTTCAGCACATAAAATAAGCTGAAGAACACTCTGGATATAAGTTCACTGGTATAACACTTCTGGTCCATGAAAATCTGACTCACAACAAAGACGGTAAAAGCAGTTAAAACTGCAACTGAAAAACAGAGTTAAGCTTTGCGATGCCATGTAGCGTTTTTGTTTATGTAAAGTTTGGCTATGCTTTTAATTTTGCATTTTAACTATTTTTACGTGAAGCTTGTTCTTAGTCATAAGTTTTTTTCCAGGAGTTTAATTAAAAACTATTACTATTACTCATTTCACAAACTTTATTTTTCGTTTACCAAGCCTTGATCTTTCTTTCTGTAGACATTTATTCTTTAATTCGAGATGTGCTTACACAGTTGCAAGAGCTTGAGCCATATCTCACATGTAATTTTTAACCTGACTTTGAATACGACAAGTGACAGCTTAAAAGTATGTTTCCGAAAATGTTCTATCGCATGTAAAGGGTTCTTAAAGCTGCATTAACACGTAAACTAATTATCCATTTCCAACTCCCCACCTATAATTTCACCCAATAGGAGACTTTCCGAATATAATAGATATACAAATGTTAATAAAAAAACGTCGCCACGAGCACAACGACCTAAAAACCCACACATGTAATTAATTTGCTAGTACAAAATAAAAATTCTTGCAGTCAAGGGCGCCGCAGAAAAAACAACAACTCAAGTTTGAAAAAAATATGAAATCGAAATACAAATACTTTATCATTTTCCAATAACATGGAAGAATCACTTTACATATCTAGTAATTTTTTCTTTTCGAAAATCCGGGGGGGGGGGGTCGTGTAGCTTTGCGCAAAGTTCATAACAAACAAACAAACAAACTTGCCACTTCATTGGAAATATATTGGCTCAAGTTCTTTGTCATACCTAACTCAGAATGAAATACCTGTTGGAATGCCGTCAATTTGCATAAAAGCAGAATATGTAGCACATAATGCTGATCAAAATATTAAATTAACAAACTTCTAAACTTGATTGCGTGTCTTTAGTGTAAGGAACCAATCAAGCCTTTTGATTAGCATGTTGGGCTGCTTATTCAGGGTCCAGGGCTCGACACGTGACATCACTGAACACGCTTCGTATTTACAGCTTTAGGCGCATTATAAAAGTGACAGTTAATCACCTCATTTAGTTCAAAGAGTCAAGTAAAACCCTCGAGGAAACGGATGCCGTTAGCTGGCTGCTTTCATTGTTCATAATTATGGACGGCTCTACCTGAATGCTAGTGGCCTCTGACGTGGCCAGTTAGCTCACATGCGCATAAGCTCTCTGCCTTTGCTGCTTTTATTCCGGATCTTATCAACTGTTAATGCTTTAAATCTAGTTTAGAGTAAATTACAACAAGCGGTAGAGCTGTTACACGATACATTTATGATGCAATAAGCACCTCTAATACAGTATACTTGGTGATATATATTACATACTATGAACTGGTTTTTTCATGCACTGTTGTTAAAAATGCAGTATACTTTTTCTTTCTGTGAGACGAATATTTGACGCACTGTTGTTTAACTTTGTTATGCGTGACGTAGTATGATATAAAGGGTGGGGCATAATGATGTACCCACCTGAAATAATGCCCGATTCGGATATGTTACTTGTCCAGGTAGGTATATAAATGCAAGTTTTTCAAACTCTCGTGTTTTCTGTAGTCACTGGTGGGGAAAAATGGTAAGTGTACTGACACTGCAGCAACAGAAGATACTAGTGTACTGACACTGCAGCAGCAGAAGAAACTCGTGTACTGACACTGCAGCAACAGAAGATACTCGGGTACTGACACTGCAGCAACAGAAGAAACTCGTGTACTGACACTGCAGTAACAAAAGATACTCGTGTACTGACACTACAGCAGCAGAAGATACTCGTGTACTGATACTGCAACAACAGAAGATACTCGTGTACTGACACTGTAGCAACAGAAGATACTCGTGTACTGACACTGCAGCAACAGAAGATACTCGGGTACTGACACTGCAGCAACAGAAGATACTCGTGTACTGACACTGCAGCAACATAGGGTACTCGTGTACTGACACTGCACCATCAGAAGAAACTCGTGTACTGACACTGCAGCAACAGATAATACTCGTGTACTGACACTGCAGTATCAGAAGAAACTCGTGTACTGACACTGCAGCAACAGAAGTAACTCGTGTACTGACACTGCAGCACAGAAGAAACTCGTGTACTGACACTGCAGCATCAGAAGATACTCGTGTACTGACACTGCAGCAACAGAAGATACTCGTGTACTGACACTGCAGCAACAGGTAATACTCGTGTACTGACACTGCAGCATCAGAAGAAACTCGTGTACTGACACTGCAGCAACAGAAGATACTCGTGTACTGACACTGCAACAACAGAAGATGCTCGTGTACTGACACTGCAGCAACAGAAGATACTCGTGTACTGACACTGCAGCAACAGAAGATACTCGTGTACTGACACTACAGAATCAGAAGATATTCGTGTACTGACACTGTAGCAACAGAAGATACTCGTGTACTGACACTGCAGCAACAGTAGATACTCGTGTACTGACATTGCAACAACAGAAGATGCTCGTGTACTGACACTGCAGCAACATAAGATACTCGTGTACTGACACTGCAACAACAGAAGATGCTCGTGTACTGGCACTGCAGCAACAGAAGATACTCGTGTACTGACACTGCAGCAAAAGAAGCTACTCGTGTACTGACACTGCAACAACAGAAGATACTCGTGTACTGACACTGCAGCAACAGAAGAAACTCGTCACTGTTTTAAGAAGACTGGCTCCGTCGTCGAGGCACAGACCACATTCATGAAATACTTCAGTGAACAATACTACATGTCAGGAAACATGTGGAGGGTACATTCCTATAGAGACAAAATTTGCTTGGAACTTGCATTTATATGCCTCTAAAAGTAACATATAGAAATATGGCCCAAAGCGGACAATATTTCGGGTGGATACATAATTGTGCCTCACCCTGTGTTTTTCTTATTGTAAAACCGAAGAATACTGGTAAAATTTTGTATATATATATATATATTCTTTCGTTAGTGTGTTTATAAACGGATTTTTCTTTCTTTCTCAATTTTTTTAATGTAACATATAGATTAAGAAAAACTGAGAAGTGAAAACATTAGTGATTAGATTTTTCTGTGTGAATGTAATACAAATACATTAAGTAGTCAACGTTTCAGTTGCTTCTGTTTTTTGGGAGGATCAAAATTTAAATTTCCAGTCATACACGTTTGTGATGTTAATGTAACACTAATTTGAAAAGTCAGGTCATACAAGTTTATCATATTAATGTGACACTTAATTTAAAAGTCCAGTTTGTGATGTTAATGTGACATTAAGTTTCACCTGTATGAAGATAGCAAAGAAACCAAGGGAAAATA